CTTCACATTGACCGCAGCCTTACCAAAAATGTCCTCTTGATGATTGTCACGTGCCAAGATGCGTAACTAATACTAATTTCGACTAATGAATAATTAAAAGAATTTAAGACGCGAGGGAAAAAGTTCGATAAAACAGTAAACAAATCTTCAAAACTAAATAGTAAAGTTTTTTTTTAGGATGCACTTTGCTGTCTCTAAATGTTTGAATATTTATATTATTTGTCCACACCTTATTCTGTAAATGGGGGAAGCCCTGTAGGATATTGTAAATAAATAAATAAATAAATCAAATTAAACAATAATAACAAAGTTAAATAAATAGTACTATTTAAACATTGGAAATAATGAGAATAGAACAAAAACATAAACTAGAGATAAAAATATTTATGTTTTAAAGTCTTATGTAGGAATGCACTTTCCTAGAATTCAAAGTAAATAATAATCTTGGTTTTTACGACTTACAACATCATAATCTACTAATTGTGTAATGTATGCCGTAATTTTAAACTTTTCGTACAAACTATTTGTTGTTTAACTTTCTTGTATATACAATTACACGGTTGTTTAAAATTATAAAAATGTTTATGTTCGCCCTATTTAGCTTGATAATGTCACGTATTTTTATAATTTTGATGATTACAATGGACATTATCTAAGATTGATATGAATTATCTCTTAAAAACCTTAATTATGGTAACATGGTGAAATGTAATTAAAAATAATCCTTAACATTGACAAAACTGTAGAAATTTTGACACAAAAGCTAAACCATTTGACCTAGGACCATCCGATGTGTATTTTAATACGCTCATCTCGTAAGTCTGTAGGTAGGAAGTTATTTTAATGAGGGAGACCCTAATAATTAGCCTGCTTAATATCCAATTTCGATAAAACGAGTAATTCCTTGTATACAATTTGATTACTAGATAACTACCAATATGCGTCAAATTATTCCCAATAAACCAACTTTATTTAGAACATAAACAACTACGGTTGATTATATTATTTAGCTGAACGACTCTAGCGATATAATGGATAAAATATGAAGAGAAAAGATTTTACGATTATTACAATCTGATCATTAAGGTCAATTAGCAATTTTATTCTAACCTAACTTATCTAGGGATGAAAAACTTCATAAACTAAGATACTACTCACGCGTAGTCTAGCATCAAGTGTCATACCCAGATATTTTGCTGTATTGGCAAAAGGAATCTGAGTGTCATTTATTCTAATAGAAATATATTCATTTTAAAATAACCAAAAAAGGTTGACAGCTGTGTGCACGTAGTTTAGATTCAAAAGGAAAAACTTGTATTTCGTGCAAAACTTTTTTATTAATCAATGCAAAGCGCTTTCGGCTTATTTGCCATCATCAGTGCTCATCTACAAAAATTGTGGATGTAAACTTACAATTTAAAAAGATTTTAAAAAATATATTATAAAATCTGAATTAGACTTTTAAGACAAAAGTTAAAATAGTATATATACAATTATTTGAACAAATTAAAAATTACAAGAAACAAACAAAGTGACAAAAAACTGGTATTGGGAATAGTGAGTGTGGGATAAGCCCTTACAAATCAAATCTGATCTCCAGAAGCAAGTTAGCTTGTGTGGAATTAAGGAATCATGCCACCCTCACTATTCACAAAATTGAAAAAAGGTTAACAAATTAGTTAAAATTTAAAGAAATTTACAATTAGAGGGTGACTGTGGAAGATATATTGAAATTTGAATCTAGAATACAATATTTGATATGAAGAAAGTAAAACGCAGAAGGCCAAAGTAAAAAAACTGAATGTTTTTTTTATATATTTTATATACATTATAATTATGAAAAAGTCTACCTACTGTCCACAACGTATCCAACAAGTTCCTGGTCATCCTCACTCCCAAAATTATATATTTCGGGATATTTACAACTTGCTAATCATAATTTTATTAATATTAATATTTTCAAATTTAAATTTCTCTCTTAATTTTGGTTCAAGTTGTTTAACCGTTTCCACATGACAGTGGTGACAAGCGACACTTGAAGACTTTGACTTGTCAAATGTCAACAGAAGGAGGTGCGTTCACTTCAGTGTGGAACATGTTTCTCCGAGTGTGATTCGAGTGATTGGAGGTTAACGGAGATCAAAATTTGTTATTGAATTTAAAGATTTAATTTATTGTTAGTTAAATTTAAATAAATGTTTAATATAAATGATATTATTATTTTGATGTCAAGACAAAACAAAAATGTCACTCGCGTGATTCTGATGTGCCAGCCCGGGCTCTGCAGAACATTCTTTCAGAGAACCCAAGATGGCACAACTGAACCCGCGGTCCCTAAAGGTGAATCTGATGTTTAGTCCTAAAAATTACTAAATCACTCAACAAGCGTACTCATGGTTAAAAGAGACAAAATAGAGAACAAAAAAGTTTTAAACAAAGGAGTACCATGGTCCCAAAGGTAGGCTCTGATGGGTGAAATCGAGTTTAGGAGGGGATGGCTCTCGAAGGCTTGTATTGGGTGACTCGGACCTACATCATCATAGAGGGTTAATTGAGTTGTCTATGGAGTGGTATGAAATTTCTGTTAAGGTTCACTTGAGTGTTGAGACAGAGTATATTGTTGTCTCTTTCGAAAGTAATTTCAACGTCTTCATGAAAATCTAATAAATTGAAATTTTTTGTGTTTAAGTTAACTAATAATTTGGAGTTTTTTGTTGGGCTGAAATTATGTTGATTGAACCTTAAGTGATGTCCGAATGCAGATATGTCCGGCTTCTTGATGTGCTCGCCTATCCGGACTCCCAGAGATCATCTACAAGTTCTGCCGATATAAGTTTATAATTGTAAGTTTACATCCACAATTTTTGTAGATGAGCACTGATGATGGCAAATAAGCCGAAAGCGCTTTGCATTGATTAATAAAAAAGTTTTGCACGAAATACAAGTTTTTCCTTTTGAATATATTCATTTTGTTTATTGCTGAAGTTGATATCTACAGATTTGTCTTCATTCAGTTTTATTCGCCATATTTTCTTCCAGGTGTTAATCTAGTCTATGTATATTTTTTTACAATTTTCTATTAGCGTCTTCGTAATTTTTCCAACTGCAAGGATTGTAGTATCATCAGCAAATGTTGCGATAAAATTGGGCTCAAGATTAGGAATATCTTTGGTATACAACAAGTAGAATACTGGACGTAGTACACTACCTTGAGGTAGTCCTGCTTTAATTTTTCTTAGATCGGAATTGGCTTCTTTCTGTGTAATTCTGAAATATGATGGAATAGGATGAACCAAAATTCAAATTTGTACTTTGGCACCATTAAATCTAAAAGCCTTGACAGGCTATCCCAAGGCGTTTGACTGCATCTTACCGTTATGTTGGAAAACTTAAAATCAAAATGACTACTTCTTCTATGACTTGCCTTGTCCTAATTTTTCGAGTTTCTTTCTAAAATATGATTTTGAAAACCCTCAACCCTGATTGGAATTGATTTTTTTCCATAGTCATTTTTTTCAAAATTGGAAAACGAAAATCAAAGAAGGATAAATCTGGCGAATAAAATGGATGCTGCTTTTGACTAGCACAGTCCTTCACGCAAAATTCGTTCCTTCATCTAATCATACGAGGAGCACCTAAAAAAAATTGATTATTAACAGATGAAGAACCCAAAACATAAACAATTTTTATTTTAAGAATTGTTTATATTTTTGATTTTTTATTTTGTTAATAACTAATTTCTTTTGGATCAAACGAAAATAAGGCTTGGTTGGACAAACGAAAATAATAAGTGGACGAACAATTACCGTATTTAATTTGAAAGAAATGTATTGAGGCCGGTGCTTTATATTTTTTAAAATTTTATATCTTGCTATGGCAGGAGGTGGACAAACGAGACTTTTGGTTGGACAATCGATGGACAAACGAGACTTTTGGTTGAACAATCGAATGTCACTTTGAAATTAATAAAAGGTGTTTATGACCATGGAAGTACGGAGGAATTTGTCCAAAGGGGAAGGACATTATTTGTGTATTTTATATATACACTTGTTTTTATACTAGACAGAAGGCTTGAAGAGAAAAATACAATATAGATGTGAGTACAACAATTTAAAGAAAATGAACATTATATTAATTTTACTCGTATGCCTAAATCAAGAATAGGACTAATTAGTCCTAATAGTTATTGTATAATTAATAAATAACATAATTTTTTGTACTTTTTAGGAATAACGTTGTGACAATAATTTCAACAAGTAAACAAGTTCCTACATTATCAGACTGAAGTTCGTTTTTCTCTGGTCTGGTAGGTTCGTCTTTGGTGGTCGTATGGAATTCATTATGAATTGGGAACTTAGGTATTTAATAATTCCGAATTATTATTTTATAAATTTTCTCTTAAATACATTGAATTGAAAATATTTTACGTAGTTTCTTTTATTTTACCTAATAAGATTTTTTAGGGCAACAGTTTTATATTGGAAAATCCAGGGAAGGAGCAGCTGCCCTGTATACGGCCATGTTTACTTTTTTACTATGGGTCAAATTTTTAAATTGGTCACAAACTTTATTTTGAAGGGTGAACAAACGAATATTTTATAAAAATTCGCATGTACCGGTGATAACTGGACCCGAGTTACTGAGACTATAAACGCCTATGCGGTGTTTTTCTAGATTTCTAAAAATCCGTACAATCAATTAACTGACCGCTTTTACACCAGACAATTCGTCCCTGCCCCGGTCATACCGTATAAAATGTAAAAAGTACAGTTGGAAAAAATAAACAATGTATATCAGTACAAACGGATCGGATGCTGTTTATTGGCTATCGCGGTCATTAACGGACACTCGTTCGTCACTTCTTGTTCAATTATTTACTTGACGAACGTACACAAGAAGTGCGCTCTCAGTTACTCGATTTGGTCCATATTTTATTTCTAGTTCTCTTTTCTACTATTCCACTTTTACGAAAAAAAAAAAAATCTACTTCGTTCACTCACCTGTTACTGATGGAGTTGTTAAAGCACACCTGCAATAAAAAAGTTAATTAGTACTAGTTAAATGAAGTTAAAGAGGAAAATGTTGCTCGGTTCGTTTGATACAAAGCAAAATTGTAACCGGGACACTATGCATTCTTGTGACCCAATTTTTAATTGCTACTACAATACTTGTAGTCCAGTCAAATTAGGTTCACTGCGAGGAAAAATTTGTTGAAAATAAATTAACACCGTTATTTACTAATTTTAAATGAAAATTTGTTTTAGAAACCTTTCAAAAATAACGTAGAGTAAATTCTCAGAAAACAAATTAATTTCGTATGCATATTTTAGTAGGTGTGCAATATTTCAGCTAAACCTACGTTGTTTTCGTCTATTCAGATATACAATTTTGCACATCACGCAGATATAGGCCCAGTTCCGCCCGGCCCATTTGCGCTCACAACCTTTTTCGACTCACTTGTGCTCTAGAAAAACAACGTCAACAAAAATAATGGGCTCATTTGCGCCCAGATTTGCAGTCATTACGAGTAATTCCGTCATTTTAGATTAGTAGGTACATATTTACATACATGCATAGTCGAGTAGTATACAGTTAATAAAGGTTTTGTATATGAGAAGCTCCCTAATCAAAATGCAACAAATCCAAAAAGTCAAAATTTAAGAAAAACGCAAATACAAATAGGGTTGTGGATATGTTACACTCTGAAAATAAAACTACACATTGCATATGCTTTATTTAACATAGAATAAGTTGCACTTTATCTTTTATACAAATAATCCATTGGTTAGTATAGCCAACAGAGATTCTGGTGCCGTATCTATCTCAATTTTGAAATTTGGTTGGAGAGAGAGGATAGGATAAAGTGAGTAAATATTTCCTTAATATATATAAAAAAATAAATCAATATAATGATAATATAAATTTTTTAAGTTTTATTTTAATATTATATTTAAAAAAAAAAAAATAAGTTGTTTTCGTTAAATATTGTCTCTATTTTTTTAAACGGTCTATTTGTTTTATATTCTAAATGTTTTTTCGTATTATTACCTTAGAAATAGAAAAATAAGTTTTGTAAAAATAAAAATTTATTTTTTATAGAGTAAAACTTAAAAGCGAAATACCACTAACTGACTCTTCAAGAGATTTCCAAGACTATCAGCCCGATTGACTTGAAATTTTAAGGGCGGGAAAAGGGGGTGTAAGTTTATATGGGAGTATCGAATTTTTTAAACGTAGGAACTTGAAAATTTGAATTGTAGCTACTTATCATAAATAAATAATGATGTATTTTAGGGTTTTTGGATTTTTATATTTTAAGAGGAGAAACGGGGGGTTAAAGTTTCTAGCTGGTATCGTTTCTTTTAAAAGTAGGAACTTGAAAATTGGAATTGTAGTTACTCATCATAAATAAACAATGACGTATTTCAGGGTTTATGGATTTTCACATTTTAAGGGGGGGAAACGAGGAGTGAAAGTTTGTATGCGAATATCGGTTTTTTAAAGGTAGGAACTTGAAAATTGAAATTGTAGCTACCCATCATAAATAAATAATGACGTATTTCATGATTTTTTTGGTTTTACATTTTAAGGGTGAGAAAGGGGGAGGTGAAAGTTGGTATGGGAGAGAGAATCGATTTTTTTAAAGAAAGGAACTTGAAAATTGGAATTCTAGCTACTCATCGGGCACGGTGGTGTAGCGGTCTATCGCGCTTATATTCATTTATAGGCAAGTTTATGAGTCTGAGACTGCTGGGTTTCGAATCCCAGACCAGACCATGTGGATTTTTAATTAAATTGCATGGTTCGGTTTAGGATTTGATGTGTGGCGTATTAATAGAAATTCAATTTCTGTTGATATGACATGCAGATTAAAAAAATTCGCCATACATTACCGTCTCGATGATGGTGGGTGAGGTTTTCCGGGTTTTCCTCACCTGTAAGTCAAATGGCACCATCAATCATCTTTAAGTCGCCCCGGAGCGCCACGGCAAATAATAATAATAGCCGTCCCTTTCCCCGGACAAGCTCAGCTTTTGGGGTTAAAATTCACTCGTAAGGGGGTGAATTAGGGAGAGTATTATTATTATTATTATTATTATTATCATAAATAAATAATGACGTATTTAAAGGTTTTTGGATTTTTAAATTTAAAAGGGGTAAATGGGGAGTGAAAGTTTGTATGGGGTAAAAATAAATAAAAACCAATAAAAATAAATAAGAACTTGTTTCGGGGTTTTAGATTTTCACATTTTAAGGGAGAAATGTTTTTGAATTTTTACATTTTAAGGGGGAAACGAGGGGATGAACGTTTGTAGGTATGTGAGTATCAATTTTTTTAAAGGTATGATCTTGAAAATTGGAATTGTAGCTACTCATCATAAATGGTGGTAAAATAAAAAATAAATAAAAATGAACAAAAATAAATAAATATAAGTAAAAATAAATAAAAGCAAATATAGGCACTGGTATGAAAAATATGAGGACTGAATTGATAAAAACAACATATCTCGATGTCCCGACACTTCCAGTTTGACAGCCTAAGGGAGGACTGCTTTTCTCACCAACAGTTTTATGTGACCTGTTAGAGAGTCAGTTTCACATGCAATCTGGTGATATTAGCAGATGAAGACCGTACCAGAAATGTGGTATACAAAAAGTTCTTAATTATATTGATGTACTTAAATATTCAGGATTCTGAATGTTCACATTTTAAGGAGGGGAAGATTTTTTGGTTTTTACATATCAAGGGGGGAAACGAGGGGGTGAAAGTTTGTAGGTACTAATTTATGATTATAGATTGTGACTATGATTACAGACTAGTAAAAAAATTACAGGTGGACCATTTATCACTTGTCGAAAAGAGTGTTATACTGAATGTCTACAATTAATTTAACCCTTTGCGGTCCTATTAAACTTTTATGTATATTCTCAGAAGGTTTCATGTATTTTTCATTGATTTTCAGTATATAAATTTTGAAGAGACTTAGTAACAATATATTTAATGGAAAAAAGTTGTAGGAGCACAATAAATAAAATTATGACACACTGAATAATTGTATGAATTACAAAATACTTTTACAATTTGTAATTTTTTCCACTATTGTATTTTTTAAATTATTAACCAGGATGATGAAGTCCAGGTTTCCGAGTGCAAGTTTCGCAAAAGTAAATAAACTATTTCTCTTCTTCTTTCTCTTACTTTACGGTTGCTGAATACTGCACAGTCCTTATAATTACTTCTTTTATTCGGGAATATGAAATGTTGATTTTTATTTATGCGTTCCTCAGTGTGTTAGGTAGACGGTCGGCCTTTTCTAATACTTCTGGGATTGCGAGTATCTCCAACAAGTTGTTGTAATAAACGTTTTTTTTCTACATTTTAGATGAGTTTTCTTTCGTAACCCATCTTGCTGTCTTTGAATGCTGTAGAGTATGTAGCCGTTTACTATTACTACCTCCAAGAGCCAAAAAAAAATTCTCCTCCACTTGAGGGATTTTCTTACAAAACTATAGCTGCCACCATCACCAGCTCCCATACTGTTAGTATAGTCAATTATGGCTAGCTGTTTTCCTATCCTTTCGATTTCTTTAGTTCTGATTCTCCTCTCTATCAATTGGATATTTGAGTTGTGAAAAGTTGAAAGAATATATATATATATATTCCTTTTTCTTTTCAAGTCAGTTCTATGTCAGTTTTATGTCTAACAGTTTCTTCGCAAGATCCATACCAGTATAATGTATATAAATGATAACCATCACTTTTGCAGTAACTTTCTACACAAATGCAAAGTGATTCTAGATGTAAATGGAAGATTTTAACAAATTAGTCCTTGCGTTGTACTGGCTCCATATAGTAACAAGATACTTATATAGCCTGTTTCGGAATCGGCTAGCGCATATACTCTTAGTCCTTATTTCGTTGGCTTTTGCGGATTGTACTCGTACATCTTGAAGACAACTCTTCCATTGAAGCCTACTGTAGTTTCGTCCACTGCAATTTTTGGACCAGGAATAAAAAATTCTCTACATTTATTATCAATTTAATCGACGACGCTTTGTACTTTCATCTCTCTAGTTAAAATTTTTGGTACAGGATGAACTGAAGGAGGATTCAAATGAAAAGCCCAAAAAATTTGGAGGAAGCAGTATCTTAAAAAACGGCTTTGAAAAAAGGTTGTTTATCGCTCCACTCTTCACTAAACTAATCTTTTATAGATGATGTATTATGCAGAGCCATAATAATAGACGATAAGACCACCATCCAACAGCAATACCTCCTGGACTTACGTAAGGAACTAGAAAACCGAACAAACAATGGCGAAGATAACCTAACCATCAAATATGTCAACGGACTGCCCAAAAATTGTTACATTTCGCCAATGATAGCTTTTCTCCATCCTATCTCGTTGACTGGTTTCTCTTATACACTAATTTATGTTCTATTCACGTTAAATATAATGAATTCATGTGCACTGTTCAACTTCTTAAACCTGACATAATTCTTATCAGTGACACCTGGTTAAATACCTCAACTCCCGACTCACTAGTTGATATCGACGGATACACAATCTTCCGCAGCGACCGAGAAAACCGAATTGGTGGTGGTGTTTGCATTTACTTACAAAAAAATATTGTAAATAATTTCTCTGTATCTCCGTACACATAAAAATATCTAACATAGATGTAATATGTATAAAAATTACTAAACATTTAACTGCTGTACATCTTGCATGTATTTATCGACCCGGTGACAATCTTTTAAACGACACCATTACGCTCCTATCGAAACTTGAAGATCTATCTGCTCTTGATAACACTATTATTGGAGACTTCAATTTTCCTGATATTTACTGGCCCATTATGAATGTTCCCAATGGCAACAGCTCCAAAAATCTTTTTATGAACTTTGTTCAAAATTCCTCAACTGATTCTTGAACCAACACGCTTCCGACACAATAATGATCCTTCAACACTCGACCTCCTCTTTACAAATGACAGACAATTATTGTCCTCCCTAGAGGTTAATAC